TACTTGTGGCAAATAAAAGAGAATGGCACGATAAATTTCCTGAAGCATTATAGGCCTATAAGACTACATACCGTACTCCTACTCAGTGTACACTATATGCTTTAGCTTTTGGGGTTGAAGCTGTCCTCCCACTTGAGGTTGAGCTCCCTTCGTTGCATGTAGCAGTTAGCCACAATCTGTCCCACGAGGATAATGCCCGACTCCGGTTGGAAGAACTTGATGGTTTAGAGGAGCTTCGGTTGCAAGCTTATCAGAACCTCAAGTTGTACCAGGCCCGTATGGCCCAGGCACATGATCGCCATGTCCGACCCCGTGCTTTTCAGGTCGGCGAATTAGTTCTTGTCTTGCGTAGGCCTATCATCTCGCGTCGCCATCGAGGTGGTAAATTTGAGCCTATTTGGGAAGGCCCATTCGTTGTAGAGCAAGTATACGAGGGTAGATCTTATTTGCTAGTTGATACGAATGGTGTTCATCCCATGCCCGTCATTAATGGACAGTACTTGAGAAAGTACTACGCTTGAGTTTGCACATCGCAAGGGGCATCCCCCGCCATTTGTAAATATCCCTCTGTATAGATATAACTTTGAAAGATTTCTCGTACTTTTCGGCAGTCCGTGGCCACGACGATTTGTCCTCTACCACATGATGTTCGTCTTGCAAAATATGATATTGTCTTTAAAGGTTGTATGTAAATACGCCGTAGGGATGTTTATTCTTACGTTCACATTCACTAGTCACTTTGGTGTTGTTGCGCAAAATCACCTTTCCAACTCCTATAAGGGTTGGCTTTCCCCAGTTTCACTTGTCACCTTCAAGTGTGGTCTGGGATACCAAAACTATTAACTCGAATTTCTATGGAATGTGATACTGGGTCCATCCTTGATCTATATTTGTCAAATATAATGATGTTGATCCATGATCACTTTGTGAATTTTTCTACAAATTATTGTTGTAATTTTTCTCTCTCCCCAATTTTATTCATGTGGCGAATATGGCCTGGGTTATCAAAGCCAACAATTTTCCCCTTTAAAAAAAAAAGGGAAGCTCTTAGTTGAGAAAGAATTGATTGCCCTTATCACAAGTGGAACCCGGTTCTACGCTCCAAGAGCCCAAAGTCCCTCCAAATTCCCTTCTGTCTCTCCTTAAAGCATTTCAATGATTGCTTAGGAGATGACTGTATATTCACTTTTTCAATTATGGTTGTTTACTTTTAATGGGATGTTATTCTCCCTTACTTGTGATGTGGTACATCTGGCTCTAGATGTTAACATCACTTCTTAGTGCATTTTGATCTTCTAGCAGAAAGTTGATCCGCTATTTCTTTCAAATGATATAATTTCCTATTGATACATTGCCTTTAGCTGTAAAAGCAGTCTTTTTAAATACATAAATGTTGCTCGTACTTTTTCACAGGGTCCCATCAGTTAGCATGGGTGTTACCACTGTGATTTCTTTAGTAATCACTAATTTTTGAGATGATGATTCTTGTTCTTAGTGGCAAGTGTATCCCATTGCCACTCCTATTGCTATTTTGTTGATATGAGATTATTCTTTTGTTTGTATGTTCCTCTTCTTAGAGAGATATATATTAGTTGATTGTCTCATGTTTTATGATTTCAATTATGCCTAAGAAATTCTACTTGCATTTAAATTACTCATGGCCACGACGATTTGTCCTCTACCTTGTGGTAACTAAAATATAAGTTTGGAATTTCTTAGATGATTGACTACTTTTTTTTCCCTCACAGCACCACGCACATGTGCGTTGGGTGGTTGTAGAGGGGACTTTTACTCTTTGTTTCGCCGTTTCGAATATGGTCAGGCAGACATTGAGTCATCCTCATTCACTGTTGCGATCTGGTCAGGTGAATGTTGGATTTTGTCTTTTGTTCCACTGTTGCGATTTTTGGTCAGGTGGACATTAGACCTTTCGGGAAGCTCTTTATTCGTTGTTGCGAATATGGTCAAATGAATATTGAGCTGTTCTCATTCACTGTTGCGATCTGGTCAAACGAATGTTGAACCCCCGTTCTTTCACCCTTTGTCTCGCTGTTGCGATATGATCAGGCAGACATTGGGTTGTCCTCATTCACTATTGCAATCTGGTCAGGTGGATGTTGGACTTTCTTCTTTTGTCCCACCGTTGCGATTTTGGTCAGGTTGACATTAGACTTTTGGGAGGACTCATTATTCGCTATTGTGAATATGATCAGGTGGATTTTGAGCCATTTCATTCGCTGTTGCGATCTGGTCAGGCGAATGTTGACTCCCCTTTCTGGTTGGGTGCCCGACAGAGTCCTTGGGAGGCATACTTCACCACCTATTCATTCCCCCTATTTTATTTCCTGTTTGGGGGTTGTTGAGCTTTCTTTTGATTCTTTGTTTCGCCATTTCGAATAAGGTCAGGCAGACATTGGGTCATCCTCATTCACTGTTGCGATCTGGTCAGGTGAATGTTGAATTTTATCTTTTGTTCCACTATTGCGATTTTTGGTCAGGTGGACATTAGACCTTTCGGGAAGCTCTTTATTCGTTGTTGCGAATATGATCAAATGAATATTGAGCTGTTCTCATTCGCTGTTGCGATCTGGTCAGGCGAATGTTGAACCCCCGTTCTTTCACCCTTTGTCTCGCTGTTGCGATCTGGTCAGGAAGACATCGGGTTGTCCTCATTCACTGTTACGATCTGGTCAGGTGAATGTTGGACTTCTTTCTTTTGTTCCACTATTGCGATTTTGGTCAGGTGGGCATTAGACCTTTTGGGAAGCTCTTTATTTGCTGTTGCGAATATAGTCAGGTGGATATTGAGCTGTTCTCATTCGCTGTTGCGAACATGGTCAAGCGAATATAGAACTCCCTATCTTTTCTTACTCCTTGTTTTGCTATTTTGAACATGGTCAAGCGAACCCGGAGTTGTCCCCATTCGTTGTTGTGAATATGGTCAGGTGAATGTGGGACCCCCCTTCTTTTTCTCTATTCTGCTGTTGCGATGCGGTCGGGCAGATAGATAATTTTCTTACCTTCGATTTCTCTTATTTCCCTTACTTTTGATTGATACTCTGATTATTGCTTCGATATTTGATGTGATTTTCAATTATTTCCTTTCTTTTTATATCATCTTAGATTTTTTTTTGTCGTAGGTGATCGTTGAATTCTATTTGGTCCTTTGAGATTTCATTTTGATTCCGCTTATGTGAGCATGAGATCTCTTTCTCCTCACCTCCCACTTTGGTTGGGTAGATGATTGACTTGTTCTCTCTTTTTATTGATTTGGTTCTCATTAGCTGATTGCATTTTCTTAAGGACTTTCTTTGGTCGACCTTGAGGTTGTATCTTCCTTAAGTTAGGAAGGTCAACGCCAATATATACGGTTCACCCATTGTTCTCCGCATATGTTGGGAGTCCGTTTGTTGACCTCGATTTTGGCTCGATCATGATCGAGCTCTTTCGATCGATTTAATCGAACCCCGTCGAGTCCAATTCGAGCTTGAATCGACCCGACTCGAGCCGGATCAGACTCGAAAACGAAGGCATTCTCTCTCGGCACTCTTTCCCTCCCACTCTCTCTCTCAATCCCTCTCTCCCTCTCTCTCGGTTTGCTCTGTTCGCAGACGCCCCGACCCTTCCGGCTCCTTCGTTCATGAGATCCAAGAGAGACGACGGACTCTCTTCCTCCCTCAGCTCTCGTCCGACTCTAGCCCCAGCAAGGCAGCCGACTCGTCTTTGGTTCGTGAAACGCCAGCCCAGCAGCCCGATCCCCCTGTTCGCGCGACCCCAACCCAACGCCGGACTCCCGTTCGCACGCCTGGACCACGCCCGACGCCACCTGGACCGAACTCAGTGCCTGGACTGATCCGATCTCTTCTCCTTTGCAATGTAAGTTCTCTCTCTTCTTCCCCTTCTTCTTCCTTTCTTTTCTATTATTCCCCTCTTCCTTCCCAGCCCAATGGTTATGTTTTCTTCAATCTACTGAAATAAAATGGCTTAGGTTGTTATGGTAAAGGGGTTGGATAATGCGTTCATCACCATTCCTTTTTGCTCAATTTCGATATCTCTAATTGTTTATTAAATGGTGTTCTAATTCCCTTGAGTAGTGATGATGGTTATTGCTAACTATGTATAATTGTGTAAGGTGTAGAAAAAAAAATCATGGGTTGATTTATGTTATTTTGGTAGTAGACAATTGGTATGAATCATGCCATTAGCCTAAAGTTTTAGGTGTAAATGGTGAAAAATCTTAAGAGACTATGCTGATTTTACTTCAAACCATGCATGCGAGGTGTTTGTGGAAACGCCTATTGGAAATAATACAAGTATTTGCTCAAAAGAAGTGCCAAGCTAGGGCAGTGTTATCTTGTTTGGATCTTTCAATTTCATTCGATCTTATTGTCTCTATATAAAGTCATGAATGATCATGAGATGTGACTACATTTTCTTGCTCTTACTGGCAATAAAAGAAGCTTAGCTAGTATTGAAAATTTTATGGATTATAGTTATAGTAGTATATACACTAATGCTTTGGCTGTATAGTTATCTCACGATGCAACCCTTCCCTCTTTTACTTTTTCTTGAGCATGTGCCCCCTTTTCTTATGAAATTAAGTATCATGTTGAATTTCATCTTCTCTCGCTTATTATGCCAACATGTGGAAAAATGAGGTATAAGTTGAACATGAAATTCGCCAAATAATCAAAAGGAAGTTTTGTATAGCACGCTTAAGTCGAAGTAATCACATTTAGAAGTATTGTTGGGAAAGTTCACCTCACTAGTGTAAATAAGTTTCATGTGATTCATATCTTGTTGTTGCAAGTTGATTTGATCATGAAGCATGAGAAAGTGGTATTGCTTGGCATCAAAGATGGAAAATTTTATGAGCCTTTATTTCAAAAATCTCTTAACAAGTGAAGGAATAAATTTGTTCTCAGATTTTATTGCTTGTCCAGTGAGTTTCTTTTGTATGGCTTTATTAGTGAAAATGTGTGCATTGAGTCAATTTATTTCCCCTCTCAAAAACTTATTTAAAATTTAAATGTGAGTTTTATTGGGCTTGAAAGAAACAAGTTACTTTTGTCCATTTTACTTTAGTTGTTTTGTCTAGATATATGCATCGAGCTTGACCGTACATTAACAAAGACATGTAGGTAGCTTTGTGTGAAAACTAGAATAGTCATGCCTCTTTTGCTTTCGTTAAGTCACATAGAGAATGTGATGTTTGTTGGCAAAAATATTTTCGATAACTACATTAACTTTAGCAAGAATAGTATGCAAAAGAATGCGTTGGTTCGTGATTATTTGAAGAGTGAGCTTATTTGTTAATTGTGTATGTAGAATCGGTGCTTTGACGTTACTTATTTCATTTAATAAATGATTTGAAATCCCATGCTTAGGTTGTTAGAGATCGTGCGAAGGACATCTTATTTGTTATCAAAGTATGCGTTTTGTTTTGTTGCACCATTGAGAAATTGCACAAGCCTTGATAAAAACAAAAAAAATAATTAATATTTATAAGTGCCTTGAACCTCCATAGCTTTATTAGTTGTAGAGCGTCGTACGAAGTAGTAGATATGAGAAAATCTTATAGCATTTGGATGAAACTTGGGTAGATCTTGCATTGCTTTGTTGTAAGAATTCCTTCAGCTTTTATGAGACTTTTTCCACTGTTTTGGCAAGAGGCAAGTGCAAAGTTTTCAGTTCTTATGGCTGTTTTTCGCATGAGAATCACTATGAAACTTGGGTAGATCTTGCATTGCTTTGTTGTAAGAATTCCTTCAGCTTTTATGAGACTTTTTCCACTGTTTTGGCAAGAGGCAAGTGCAGATTTTTGAGTTCTTATGGCTGTTTTTCGCAGAGAATCGCTATGGAATTTGGGTAGGTTTGTCGTTGCTTTGTTGCAAAATTCCTACAGTTTTTGTGAGCTTTTCCTACTGTTCTTGTAAGAAGAAAGTGCTGATTTTGGGAGTTTTATCGCTGTTTTATATAAGATCCTCATCGCATTCGAATGGATTGTTTTTGCATTGCTCCTTGGAGCTTCATGACATTTTGGATTATGGGAGTCTTCTACTACATGTTTAGTAAGGTCATAGATAGGTTCCAAATACCTTTTCTTTTTCTGTATCTTTGGTAATAATGAGTTGGAAAGGAAGAGGTTTGAGAGCTCTTATAAGATTCATTATATGCATTTGTGGTCTCTCTGGGTGAAAGTTTATAGAAGTGATTTGTGACGCTTCATTTGATTGTTTGGAAGGTAAATGGCATTGCCTCCTTTACAAAGGTTTCTATGCGGTCTTATTTTCTTTTCAAAGTTTTTTTTTTTTTATTTCCCTACCCCACTCCAAATGTAAGAGAGGCGCTTGATTATGGGGTTGTTTTGGTAGAGTTTTGTGTCAAAAAGGAGGGGATTTTGGTAGTCGATCTTTGTGGGGTCTTTTGTAGTATTTTGTTTAGAAGTTTTCATAGGGTGTCTTGAGACTTCTAGTTTTGTGACTCGCTTAGTGTAATATAAAGTCCCTTAGTAAGCCTTTTTGGAACAAACTGATGATTAATGCATGAATTATTTTTCTTATTGATTCGTATTAGTTTCTAAAGATGGATTTTGGGGTCTAAAGTTTTAGGTAGCTTTGGGTTAGAAGCTTTTGGTGTCTTTTAGAGTAAAATAATCTTTCCTTACTTAGATTAGCTTTCTTTAAGGCTAACTTCTAAAATATATATAATGTCGGATAAATATAAAACAAAAGAGAGTCTAGTTTTAAGTTTAGTGTTAGGATTTTATTTCCTTTAGTTATTTTGAGCTTTGTTTAAAGGGTAGCTAGATTGTTTGAGTCGAGTCTCATATCAAGTGACA